AAACAATAATAAAGGCATTCAGCAAAAAAGAAAATACACAAAATAAAACAAATACAATACAGGAAGCCCAATACTACTTCACAATAGATTATAAACAATGCAAAATACGCGATAATACAAAATACATAATGAGGTCAGATCGATACAGAGCGACCAACTGTGTACAACCTATTATTAAACAGACAGACATGTGGCCATTGTATGTGTGACGTGTGATATGTGTTCACTTTGATAGAGTGGATAAACTCACCATGATTGTTATTTATTATTCAATACTATTGTGTTTGTTATCGCTATTGTTATCAATGATTCTTAGTCTTATTATTATTTATTATTAGTATCATCGTCGTTTTAGTCTTTGAGGCAGGATGGTGGTGAACTATCCAACATTAAGCTCAAACACCGGGGTTCGATTTAATCTCTGAATAATAATGCAAAGGAACACCAACCTAACTTCTTCTTCCTAACCCAACCAGCCTAAACCTATTTCTTAACTGGCTTCTAGCCTAAACCCTAGAGTCCGCAGGTCACACAGGGTCTTTGGATCAGCATAGTAGAGACATGTAAAAATAACCCCTTATATTTATCAGCCAATGAGGAACTGATAATATCCCTCGTGTATCAGCCAATCAGAATGTCTATTTCCTGTCCCTTGGCAACTTATCAACCAATGACACAGCCTTTGTTTTATCAATCAATAGATAACGATTTATTTACACACACACACACACACACACGTTCCCCTCACCAAAAATACTATACATGCCTTATTTTGAACCTCATTAATATTTTATGTTTGAAAGCGATATCCTTCTGTGTGTGTGTGTGTGTGTAATAATCCCTGTTTCTTGCGCCTCAGCCTCCCCCCCCCCTCACAACACCCCCCTTCACCTCCCTTACTCTCTAAGTACTATTCTTAAATCTATACTTCTCCACCCTCCCCTACTCTACCCCACCCCTAATCTGCCTCCTCACCCTCCCCAATCTCCTCCTCTACCCCTCCCCTAATCTACCTCCTCTACCCCTAATCTCTCCCTCTACCTCCCCTAATCTACCTCCTCTACCCCACCCCTAAACTTCCTCCTCTACCCCACCCCTAATCTACCTCCTGCCCCCCTAATCTGCCTCTCTACCCCTCCCCTAATCTACCTCCTCTACCCACCCCTAATCTACCTCCTCTACCCACCCCCATCTACCTCCTCTACCCTCCCCTAATCTACCTCCTCTACCCACCCCTAATCTACCTCCTCTACCCCACCCCTAATCTACCTCCTCTACCCCTCCCCTAATCTACCTCTACCCCCTAATCTACCTCCTCTACACCCCCCTAATCTACCTCCTCTACCCCTCCCCCTAATCTACCTCCTCCCCCACCCCCCCTAAACTTACCTCCCTCCCCCCTAATCTACCTCCTCTACCCCCCTAATCTACCTCCTCTACCCTCCCCTAATCTACCTCTTCCCCACCCCCTAATCACCTCCTCTACCCTCCCCTAATCACCTTCTCACTCTCTCCCTCCCTTCATTCTGTCTGAAGTCAGCTTCAGCCCAGACATGAAACAATCGACTCTGAGAGGAGGGCCGGGAATAGTGCCGCCCACTGCCACCCTCTTACCACTCAGTGCCCCACCCTTATTTTTCATCCCACCCTCAAGCTGCCCAGTGCCCCATCCTTAATTCTTATTCCACCTCCAAGCCGCCCAGTGCCACTATTTATTCCACCCAGTGCCCATCCTTAATTCTTGTTCACCCTCCAAGCCACTTAGTGCCACTATTTATTCCACCCAATTGCACCTTTATTCCATCACCCTCACACCACCAGTGCCTCTTTATTCACCCAGTACCCACCCTTTATTCCATCACCCTCCTTGCAATGTACGTACAATTCCTGCATCCATATAATAGTTTAACACCATCCAAACAAACAATCAATATTAACCAACAACTTTATATAAAACAGCTGATTTGTCCTAATTGTGTGTGTGTGTGTTGGCGTAGAACAGATCACACACACACACAGAGACGCACCTCTATTTGGACCACAGACTTCTCACTCCTGCCCGGCGGTGCTCAGCGTTCACCACAAATGCCCTCACCCAAACCACTGAATTCACCTCCGTTTTTTCTCGCGTTATTCGTCACTGCTCTCCACCATTAGGCTCCACCAGTACTATGCACTAACTCTTTCTCCTCCACGCAGGATAGTTTTCGTGGTGTCGCCTGAAGTAGGCAGTGAAGTAACGAACACCAACAAGTGGCAGGGTGTGGGACTGCTAACGGCCGCCATGGGAGGTTACTATGGAGACGATGTAAAGCACACATCAGCTGATACCGGGGCCAGACCCTTGATATTTGCCATTCAAGTCGCTTTATTTTCTTTTGCGTTGTTGCCACCATTCACCGATCACTTATTTATTTTCGTCCACACCCATTTCCAACAGTTTGCACAATGTCGAAACTATTCTGCCTTCTAATATATGTAATTTCCTTAACAAGTATAATATGACTTAATAACTGGTACAACCATTTTTAATAATATTTATAAACATTCCCTACCCACTTTTACTTTCATTAAGTATATTCTAACTCTTTTGACCACTAAGGTGACAACTAGTAATCGATCACAATTATACTACAAACTAACGTAATTTCCATATTAGGTTATGCGTGCCTATCCACTTGGCAACACCTGTTCTGACCCTGTAGATATGAAATATGATAATGGTGTGTGTGTGTGTGTGTGTACCATGACAGTGGTCGTCAGGGCTTCACTAACACCGGTATTTATTGACACCTGAGTCTCTCTCTCTCTCTCTCTCTCTGCAGAAGCACTCTTTGCATTTCATCACCATTAAAATAATATTTGTATAACAGGTCCCGAGCCTTGTAGTAGTAGTAGTAGTAGTAAGTAATATCGCCGTCAGATGACTATAGTTTAACACTATAAACAGGTCTGCTTTATAAACGAAATGCTGACGCTATACTGGTACTGGCACTAAGCGGGTACTGGCACTAAACGGTGCTAGCACTATAAACGAATGCACTGGCACTATAATGGTGCTGGCACTAAACGAATTGCTAGCCACTATAAACAGGTACTGGCATAAACGGGTGCTAGCACTATAAACGGGTACTGGCACTATAAAGCCAGGTACTGGCGCTAAACAGGTACTAGCACTATAAGCAGGTACTGGCACTATAAACAGGTACTGGCACTAAACAGGTACTAGCACTATAAACAGGTACTGGCACTAAGCAGGTACTAGCACTGTAAACGGAAATTGCGGCACACTATAAACAGGTGCTGGCACTAAACGGTGCTAGCACTATAAACGTTGCTGGCACTATAAACAGGTGCTGGCACTAAACAGGTACCTAACACTATAAACAGGTACTGGCACTATAAACGAGTACTGGCACCTAAGCAGGTACTAGCACTATAAACAGGTACTGGCACTATAAACAGGTACTGGCACTAAGCAGGTACTAGCACTATAAACAGGTACTGGCACTATAAACGGAGTACTGGCACGCTAAACAGGTACTAGCACTATAAACAGGTACTGGCACTAAACAGGTACTAGCACTATAAACAGGTACTGGCACTATAAACAGGTACTGGCACTAAAGCAGATACTAGCACTATAAACTTAATTACTGGCACTATAAACAGGTACTGGCACTAAATGAGTACTAGCACTGCAAGCAGGTACTGGCACTAAGCAGAGTACCAGCACACTATAAACAGGTGCACAACTATAAACAGAGTACTGGCACTATTCAGTACTAACTTTTATAAACAGGTACTGGCACTATAAACAGGTACTGGCACTAAACAGTACTAGCACACTATAAACAGGTACTGGCACTAAGCAGGTACTAGCACTATAAGCAGGTACTACGGCACTATAAACAGGTACTGGCACTAAGCAGGTACTAGCACTATAAACAGGTACACTGGCACTATAAACAGGTACTGGCACCTAAACAGGTCTGGCACTATAAGCTCATACCAGCACTATACTGGTACTGGCACTGAAACAGGTACTGGCACTATAAACAGGTCTGGCACTTCTCTCAAGCTCATACAGCACTATATATGGTACTGGCACTATAAACAGGTACTGGCTTTTATAAACCAGGTCTGGCACTATAAACTCATACGGCACTATGCTGGTACTGGCACTATAAGCAGGTCTGGCACCGCAAGCAGTACTGACGCACTATGCTGGTGCCCCTGGCACTATAAACAGGTACAGCACCATAAACAGGTCTGCTTTCTCAAACTCATACTGGCACTATGCTGGTACTGGCACTATAAACGGGTCTGGCACCATAAGCAGAGTACTGACATATGCTGGTACTGGCACTATAAACGGGTGCTGGCACTATAAACAGGTCTGTTTTTCTCTAAACTCATGCCTGGCACTATCTGGTACTGGCACTATAAACCGGGTCTACCAGCACCGCAAACAGTACCCCAGGCACTATGCTGGTGCACTTTTTATAAACTTAGTACTGGCACTATAAACAGGTCTGTGCTATAAACTCATACTGGCACTATGCTGGTACTGGCACTATAAGCAGGTACTGGCACTTTCTCAAACAGGTCTGGCACCTAAAGCTCATGCTGGCACTATGCTGGTGGCGCTAAGCAAATTTGGCACTATAAGCAGGTACTGGCGCCTAAACTCGCAGCTTTATGCCAGGTACTGGCACTTCTGGTACTGGCACTATAAACGGGTACGGCACTGTCTTGGTACTGGCACTATAAACTCGCCTGGCTTTATACTGGCGCCTTTTCAAAGCAATTGCTGGCACTATAAACTCTTTTTGGCACTATAAACAGGTCTGGCACTATAAACTCATACTGGCACTATACTGGTACTGGCACTATAAACAGGTACTAGCACTATAAACAGGTACTGGCACTATAAACTCATACTGGCACTATACTGGTACTGGCACTATAAACAGGTACTGGCACTATAAACTACTCACCAACAACAACAGCTGTCGGGGTGGTGTTGAGTTCGGTGAGGCTGGGCAGGTAGTGGACCTCGGCCCCCCGTAGGCGACGCTTCTGTAGAGCGGCTGCTGACACTCGCGTCCCCATCCTTACTCCGCTACCCTGGGGGGGAGGGGGGAGGATTAGTAGGGGCCAGGGGGTAACGTGATATGTATGGGGGGTATAGCACACAACGATAAGAGAGGGGATGTTGATAAAGAGTGGGAATAGAAAGGGGACTAAAGTAACTTTGAAAATATAATAAGATCCAAAGATGATGAACATTAAACCTAGATAATAATTTAATTGTTGTATGCAGGATATTCTATGGTTTACTTTCCTGACAGGTGCAAATAAATTCACATTCCTGCATACACAAGAGGTGAGGGGTGAGAGGGGATACAAAAACACACATGTATATTCGAGAAAACATTGAAGAGATTACAGTGAAATACTGTACTACCACAACCATGCCAAGAAAAGTGGACCAAACCTGAATGCCAAGGATTAGTTAAAAAAAAACACAAGTTTGAATGTCATGAATTAGCTGGGTACATCGAGAGTTTGTGTCATCATTATTAAAGCCTCATACGGTATATTTTTTACCCTAATATGAGATAAAGTAACATATCTCGTCATAGTATAGTCTCAGTGCGATTTTTAACCCCCATCTTTTGTACTGTAGCTGAATAGATAGATAGATGGATCAACAGATAGATATTCAGTAAAACCGTCATATTAGTTAACAATGACTCAACATGTATACAGACAATGTAGATATGTCCCCATGTGTATTCTCAAAGGTTCATTAGTTAATATTTCTCCTAACTAAATACATGAGAACTTATCACTCTGTCTATCTTAAATTACATTACAACACTCACACTATACTAAGATCGTTTCCTTGGGTTTAAAATGGAAAAAAATATATAATTCATGAATGTTTTGGGAGTCCAAGCAGGTCCAATTCTAAGTCCAACTGAAGTCCTTCGGGTCAGGGGGTCGTCGTTCTGTGAATGGTGAAGCCCCGCTGAGTTATAATCCAACGTGAGGGGGTGGGGACCTTCTCTTCTCTTTGGTGCATGTTGTATTTTCCTACGTTGGTTTGTTGTTACTACTGTATCATCATCTTCCTGTCCCCTATGTTGCTTTATTATTACTGTGTCCTCCTGAACCACAAACCCCGAAACTCAGACTTGTGAACCCGAAGCATTGATAGACACTGATGATGCATTATTCTGCCCATTAATGCTTTGGATTCATGGGGATTGAATCTCAGGGTTCGTAATTCAGAAGGAGAGGCGACAGTACTTTTGTGGATGACTGAACCTTCTGCCTAATTTTACTAACAAATTCGGGTAAAAATAATATTTATGGGTATGGACGGCTGTGAATCAATACGACCTCACGATGGTACTGTAGATGCCACACTAAAAAGTATCTACAAAATTTAATCCATTCCTGTAATAAATAAAATGACCAGCAGGCAGGTTCTACAGTGATGCTTGTAGGTCTTCACAGTGGGGAGTGTCACCTGCTCCTCCAGCCTATTACTATATGGAATCCAATACTCCACTGCGGGTCATTGCATCCTACCTGGCTGAAGCCCCTGTTAACGCCACTTTGTTTACTCTGTCTGTGGCAACCAGGGTGGAGGTTTGTCATTGGTGGGTCTCCCTGTTTGAGTATGAGACTGTATGTATGTATGTATGTATGTATGTATGTATGTATGTATGTATGTATGTATGTATGTATGTATGTATGTATGTATGTATGTATTGTATGTACTGTATGTATGTATGTATGTATGTATGTATGTATGTATAGATGCATATTTGTAACTACCGTACTGTATGTTTTTGAAAGAATTTATGTGTGTGTATTTAGCTATTGTATTTACCGTATATTCACTGTCGTATGTTCATCACAATTTTGAGTTAAGTTCTCATGTACTTTCTTACAGATGTTGTAGGTAAGTACCTTTAATGTAAGCTGTTACTTATTACAAAATCTTTACCACTGCCATATTACTCATTTACCATTCACCGTTTTCATTAAGTAACCTAAACTGTCTTTATGATATATTTGTCATACTAATTCATGTTTTACTCAGTGATTTATTTCTCTGGGGTTTATTTTAAGACACTCTCATGCTTACTATTTAAATTACTTGCAGTACATAAGTTTACAGTGCTGTAGTTAGTTATGTCACTGCAGTGAAATACTGTACTGTTTTCTGAGAATGACTTATCATTACTGTATATATACTGTACATTATAATTAAGTTCACTGCTTTCATGGAGTCACATTAGTAGGGTGATTAAGAAAAGTGCCACATGTATCATTTATAATTATTTATCTAATTATAAATGTGTTGAAAAAGTGCGATACAGTGCTGTACTAAGAGAAGGAAAGGTTACCATGACCAAAAAGGGTTCCAAGATTTGAAGAGAGATTAGTATGATGGTGCACAGCTCATTTAAAGTTCTAGGATTAGTAACTGTAGAAGTGATTGATAATGTTGTGGTGGGATGTAGGTTACTCACTTTCCTGGGCGACGTCAAGAGTGATTCGTCACTACCAAACTCCCGGGTGAGCTCTGGTCTGGTGGCTCCTGCCCCCTCCCTGCTGCTACTCTCTATGTTGCTCTTGGACCGTTGATGGAACACTCGTGGGGCTGAGGCCTTTACTTCATCCTCTGATACCTCTTCTTGTTGTTGGTTCTTGTGAGACTGTTGCTCATTCTCCAAATTTTCAATGGAAAAGACCTCATCAGTCTCGTCCCCACCGCCACGCCAAAGAATATCTGACAGAAAGTTCTCTCGGGACAGACTATCTGATGACTTGTGTCCTCCCAACACAATTGGCCAGAAGGGTGTTGATTCACTCGTCTTCTCTGCCCCAGAAACTACACACACCTTTGGGGCCTCCGTATTTTCACCTTCTGTCCCCCCAGGTACCTCTATTACGTGCCCGCCAGACGTTGGATCATCAGCAGTGCCTGCAGAGGATAAGCTGGTCCTGGCAGTAGTAGTGGCTGAGGAAGCACTGCTGGCAGCTTGTGAGTGGGGGTCCTGATGTGAAGGAAATACCTCCAAGGGTATCCCTGAGCCTTCCACTGGTAGGGTGAGTTGGCTCAGGGCAGCAGCATCATGCTGGAAGCTCTGGTGAACTGTGGCCAGGTAGAACACATGACGACTCCTGGTGACACAGAGCACACAGTTTAATCACCCCTCCCATACATTATACATAGTAACTATACCTCACTACCTATACATATCAAACAAGCTTTCACCGATGCACATGGCACACATGAGTATAACCTAGGTATAGCCCAGGTACACAATAATAGCAATGACAGAGACAAGAGAAGCCCCTCACACACGCACACCTGCACACTGGACACTAATACTCCGCACTCTCCACTCACTGCTCCAGTCCCCCACCCTCTCCTAATGTCTATGTCATGTAAGGGATTATGGTGGAGCACGAAGAGGGCGGGTGACTCAAACCTTGTACTGTACAGTACTGAGTGAGGAGGAGGAGGAAGGAAAGTCATTCTCATACTGTGTAATGATCAGGTGATGTATTATACCTCTACTGTATGAGGAGACAGGGAAGAAGTCATGCTTTGTGCTGTGAGCAATTATTGTGTACTGAATGAGGGGGAAGAAAAGGAGTCATTACTACACAGTTACACTTGTGCTTGTACTACAAGGGGAGGGAGGGAAAATATCATGTCTTGTGATGTGTGACAGCAGTTCAGGGATCAAGTTATCTTCCTCAAGACAATGCCACTTTAACAAGCAACCACTTAAATCAAAACTTTAAGCATTCTAGTTTATAATAAAGACTCAGGACCTTTGGTAGATAACATTTAGCGTTCATCATGAAGTGGAATTATCCAGTGATTACTGTGACAGGTACAATACTACCATAAATGTGTTATAAATATCAATTATTTGTTATAGCTATCATATATGCAAATAAACCTACTTCATCCAGTGGAGCATCATCGAGCATGTGTATAATCAACTGATGTAATAAACTGTGACATTTGATCGCTATACTTTTCCACATACTGTATGGCAATAGATGAGACAAGGCTTCAAACTTCTTTATTCCAGAAGGAACTTAGCGGTGTTTGGCAGGTATATACAATAGCTCTACTGCAATCAGCTTTTTTTTAGGTGGAAAATCTTACTAAGTTTCAAGTTTCATAAAAAATTTAAACCTTTGTAATTTTAGGCAGGTAAGACTACTGAATAAGAATCAGTTTTGAAAGCTCTCTTAGGGTACCTACCATCTTTAGCCATCCTCTGGGTCTGTATCAACATTCTCTCTAACAAACTTTGACATCAGATCTACAAAAATTAGCTCATGGAATAACTTGACTCTGAATGTTGTGAAGGCCTTTAGTGTAAGCTTATGTTCAGTTACATTCTAGAGCCTGTACATGTCCAGCACTTACCAGCAGTGTGTAAGAGAGAACTGACTGCCCAAATGGCTAATGAACTAACCAAAGGCCAAGTGGGTAAAGTAAAGTAAACTCACCTAGTCTCCTGCAAGTTAAACTTTATCTTGGTTGACTTGTCTGGTCCCCGCACTGCTACAGTGAGTCTATGTGTGGTATAGGAGAGCCTCTTAACCTGAGACCAGGGATGGAGTATGGCACAAGCAACAGCCTCCGAGGTGAGGGGTCCACTTCCTATTACCAACACACCTTCGGGCCCAATGCCCAGCCACCACTGTTGACGTCCCTTGTCCTGATAGGGAATGGTACTATCAAATGTATTCCAACAAACATGCAAACACAAGCATACAGGGTGTCTCAAATGCTTGCAATAATACTACATCACTGAGCTGAAAAATAGTTCTTGGAATGAGCATGTTCAAATCAATGTCAAGGGCCTGAGAAACATTCAGAGGAGATTAAGTGAAAGAAGTGAGATCTGTATGTAAGTTTATGACATGAAATTTGAAAGTTTACTAATTTGGAGGAAAATGGTGAATTCTGAGTACAGGATAAACTTTTAGGTCACTGTATATTCTTATTAGCATTAATGTATGGGAAGAATTACAAAATATCCAACAAAAACATAAAAGAAAACATTTAAGTTTCTATATTTCATACAGTAAAGTCTATGGCTCAGTAAAAGTGAATGCAGTATATAGCAGTGCATATGCTGTATATATATACAGTAAATATAATGTTTGCTTCATTAAACATCTACCTCTATCTATCTACAGTCAATATAGTTAAGGTTATTGTTATTTTCAAACACTTCATCACAAAGCAATTGTAATAGACTAATAACAAATTGTAAATATCAATACAGTGGCCTCGGATTATTTCACGACTTTTTCAAGCAATTTTTTTTTAATTTTGTAAATTTCCTTGGTCCCAATCTCACAAAATAACCCCGAGGCTACTGTATACACAAGAAAGGCATAAACGGTCATACATTACAGCATAACACTTTAATGCATTACCCATACAAAAAATATACACTATATAAATAAGCTAAACTGTTGAGTGAGTGATGTTTCTTTTTCTCATAGATTTTATTCACCTACAAGCAAGGGCAGGGAGAGACAGTGAGCAGTACGTATGGGAAATATTACAGAATACAGACGTTAAAGAAAGTAACTTCAATAACTTTTTACCACATTCATGAGTTACCTGTGTGATGTGGCAATAGTGTGCACCGCAGTGTTTACCTGTGTGATGTGGCAATAGTGTATACCGCAGTGTTTACCTGTGTGATGTGGTAATAGTGTGCACCGCAGTGTTTACCTGTGTGATGTGGTAATAGTGTGCACCGCAGTGTTTACCTGTGTGACGTGGTAATAGTGTGCACCGCAGTGTTTACCTGTGTGACGTGGTAATAGTGCGCACCGCAGTGTTTACCTGTGTGACGTGGTAATAGTGTGCACCGCAGTGTTTACCTGTGTGACATGGTAATAGTGTGCACCGCAGTGTTTACCTGTGTGACGTGGTAATAGTGTGCACCGTAGTGTTGTGTGTCCTGCAGGGTAGTGATGAAGCGTGCCTGGGCCTGGGTGTACGGCAGACCCATCAAGGCCGAGTGGTTCTGCTGCAGTTTTTGAGACGCCTCCTTAGTCTGTCCTCCGCGCAGCAGTGACTCAGGGACGTAATGCTCGGGCAGGAAGTAACCCACACTCTGGTAACAAAAATAAATAATAAAGACCAGTAATTATCTTTCCTCTGAACATAATATATAATCAAAAAATAACAAGTGATTTTTTTTCTGATTCAAAACAAGTTGTCTGAATATTACTAATCAACTGACATACATGTATATGTCATATCTAAAAGAGATGAAACCTGGACTTTTTAATATTTATGATATTTACATTAGTTAAGAGGTCATGTAAATATCAATACGGTACTAAGTACTTTTACCTAACAACACAGGTGTACTAAATAAATTGAATTCTCACCAAAACAACTTTTCCCAGTTGAGAATAAAGTTGGCAGTGACATAACTACAATTCTTAGTTTAAAATTATGAAAGCCATTAATGATTTTTATTCAGTAATTATACAAGAAAGAAATGCTAATTCATTAAACATTTACAAACTACAATTTTTTTTTTTATCTTTATTAATAAGACTTCTCCTTGTTGAGGTTTCTGTTTTCCTTCCATCATCTAAAGATATATTTAAATAACTCTCACCTGTTCATTTTTATCTCCAAATTCCGCCTGAAGAGCGAGGCTCGCCAGTTGAAACAAGACATCTGGTGGGAGGGAAAGGCGGCCCTCCAACACATCGTGTCGTAATTGCAGGTATAACAGCTGTCTTGATGAGCTTGCCATGTCACTCAAATTACTGAACCTAATGCAATCATCAGATTAGGTTAGATTATGTAATGTAAGGTTACCGGTAAGTCAAATTTTATTTCAGTATATGACTAGCAGAGTCATTACTTAATAGTGCAATGGAACAAAGGCTGAAATTCTACAAAGGCAACTCAAAGAAAAAAATACTAAAACTCTCTTGTGAAGGTTGAATAGAACAATGAGAGCCAACAATTACAGAAGACCTGGTAAAAGTCAATGTAAATATATGTGAGTGAAATGTAAGGCTATGACAATACAATGACAAGTGGAAAACAATCATTTGAAGAGACACTTTTTCTGAGAGGAGGATGTGGAGTTGGTAAAATGTATTCAGTGGAAGTGCGGATCTTAGAGGAACATACTGTATTAGAGTAACATCCTCTACTTACTTAAGATAATACATAATCCTCAGGTGCAGAGTAAAATTATCCTGAATAAGACCATCTTTTGTAGGGTGACGTTCCCTCCATCCTGGGGGAGCAACCTGTAATACCAGCAACAAGATGACTTTAAGTGACGAACACGAAGAGTTACCTGGAGGATGAGCAGCCCATGTACAGTCAGGGTCAAAAGTTCGCTCTCTCCCAAACTGAAGCAGTATCGACCCCATATGAAATAAAACAGCACACCCAAACAAGATAACACTTCGGGGAAGTAAGTTCGCAGACTCATCACCACGGGAAGAGAAAATTTGTCCACAACTCGACCAACTCTCTAAAGACAGTAGTACACTAACTCCTACAGAAAACTGAATCATTACAGGCAGATTGATTGTAAGTAAACATTAACATCGATTAGTTGGTGTGATATGGTTTTTTGGGAAGGTTGTACATTATGCTAATGTGTAGTGCCAGGATGTAGCATGAGCTTAAGGTTAAACATATTACAGAAGTCTTCTTGTCATGTAAAGTGGAAACATTACAGCAGAATATTAAAGGTTAGGCAGTTTGAGATTGGATAACATTTTGATAGAGAAATCTGCATTGTTCTTAATTCCAAGCCACATTATAACATATTGGCAAAGAACTTGTAAAAATTAATAAAAAAAAATGTTAAAGAAATGCCAGCAAAATTTATAATGAAAAAACAATAAAACACTAATGATATAATCGCTGTATACCTTATGTAGTTTGGTCTGCGGAGCTACAAAATGAAACTCTCCACTACCCAGCACAGCGAGGCCCAGCAGGTGTTTTAGTGGTAAATCCTCCTCTTGGAACACAGCCTGTGGAACAAGAAATAAAATTACTATTATAGATAAGAACCATAATATTTCTTCTCATACAATACACTGGATACTCCTCAACATCTTTCACATTCCACATCTTTTTTCTTGGAGTAGAATGTTAAAGTTCGAGCTAACTTCATATACTCCGTGTTCCTTAACTCACGGGAGAAAGGTTAGCTTAGACTAGGGCACTGATGGGGCTGATGTCAAGCTCAGTGAACAGGACAAAACCCATGTCACATAAATAGAGAGTTTAGAGTACAGTCAGTTCTGCTATAACGCGATAGTTGTGTTCTTGTAAAACATAGTGTTATAGAAATTCGCGTAATAGAAATAACAGGGCTTATGGAGAAAATAGGGTTAGGTGCAGATTACTAGTCGAAATTGAAAAAAATTTAGTAGTTAGCCTAACACAAAGGATAGAACAGTCTAAATAAATGTTACATTCATATCTAATAATGAAATCATACAGTAAATGTAACACTTTACCTTGAAAAAATAAGAATATAACTTGATGGGGGAGAAGGGTGATTTTGAGGTTGATAACATCGAGCCTCTCTTCAAGGGTTATAGCCTTTCTTTTACGATCATCAGCGGGAATGCGATCACCAGAACGCTTCTTGGAGATATTCTTCTTTACCATATTCACAGTTAATACCACAAAATTAGAGAAATAGTAAGCAAAAATCGCATTACAGCAAACAAGCGTTCGCGTTATACAAATATCGTTCCTCTATTCATAAATCGCGTTAGAGCCAATTCGCATTGTCAAAACACGAGTTATAGCAAAACTCACTGTACTACCAACACAAGACATTCATTATTTGTATTTACAGTTTTCTTTTAATACACTAACACCCACAAACATTTACCATAACACACAATTCTTGATAATATCCCAAACATTTTAAATTTGGTGGTACTGTACAACACTATCCCTGTACTCCACCTCCTTCCAAAATTCTTAAATCAAACACATACATCTACAATACAAGACAAGGTCCCATTTATCACCCTACCTCAAGAAAGTTAAGTTTAAACAGTGGTACAATACTTCCCCACCTGAAACAAACTTTCCTTTGAAAATAAGAAACAAAAGGTGACCACAAAGTTCCCCTGTCATTATAGAGGCAAAATAACTCCCAAAATTGTGTAGAGAAAAACTGATTACTGAAATTTTCTGGGATTTTGTTGGGATATATCAATATACAGTACAGTAGCAATTGTTATTTAAATCCATTCCTTTTGTTGAAGTTACATGTTCAAAAGAGACGCAAAGGAGGGCATGGACAAACACACACACACATAATCTCATCTTCAGGGTGACTAGAGAAGGGGTGAGGGGGCAATGGTAATGGTGCAGTATCCTAAAGAGACACAACTGACCTGGAGAATGTGAGTGACCCGAGTAGTAGAAGGATCACAAGTCAATTCCAGTCTCCTGCCAGTGACCAGGATCACTGTAACTTTCTTCACCACACCTCGCTGGAAACATAGAAACACAGCTTTAGTTAACATGAAGTACAGTGAAAAATAAATTAGAATATCTATCTATTCATATATCTACATACTTATTCACTTATTTATTATATCATTATGGAGAGAAGAGGGAGGTGGTAAGGGGATTGGGGAATGCAGCCATCCATTCAGAGTGACTCCCCAGGAAAGTGAAGATTTGTACATAACAAGGGATAAAAAGACAGGTCTTAGATGGACCACAACATTACCTGTGCATCTTGTAACAACGTGAGGACTTTTGCTGGTTCTTTGCTTCTGACAACAAATTCTGGGCCAAGGATTGGTGGTGTTCCTGCACTCGTGGGGCCTACTACAGTATCTGGACTACCATCTGCAAAACGGTATAGGCGGGAAGGGGTACGCACCACGATGCGTCTCTTCTTCTGAACAACTTCACATAAGTTTTGACGTAACTCTGCTTCAGTATTGCTGGAAATGAGGAATAGTGGTAAAAAATGACATTATTATAAATGAACTAAAATGAAAAAAAATAACATAACTTAGACTGCATTACCACCCACTTGTGTATGGAGTCCCCCCTCCGCTGAATAAATTCGTCTAGTGTTAACCACATAAAACATTAAAAGTGACATCCCGATAGTGAAGGGGTTAAGTGATATAATTGAGCACACATGTAAGAAACACTACAAGAGTACAATGTTATATTTCCCCATACTGTTGTCCTGAGTACTGTATATTTATCATCATAAGATATTCTTTTCACCTTTATAAATCCTTTCTGAATAAACTCTCAAGTTGGACAGAATCAAATGTTAAACAAACTCTCCTGTTCCCCCTTACAGCCCCAACAGTTCATCTAGTTTATCTCCACCACTCTCCACTATCACCCACCACCAACAGCGCATCCATCACCCCCAAAAAGGCCAGTTCGACACAGTATTAATTTACCCGGTCATCTTTAACAATATTTTAGATAACCTTTGCCCTGAACTCATTCTTCGTGTATATTTTTATCACCCAGAGAAGGATAAGATACTTACTACACTTCAAGAAGCAGAGGTCCTCCTTGAACAGTAATGTGGGAGGAAAGTTTAAATAATTATTAAAAAAAAAAACATGAAGAAGCCCAGTTAATTACTTGGGAATCTGAGGTATATGCAATGTACTCTCACTGCTGATAATTTTGTGACTAAGAAAAATATTAAATGAACTTGGACAACATGTGACTGGAGGACATGGGAACAAATGGTACTACTTCTCCACAATTACTACAAATAGTTTGACTTATAAAATCATTTGGGTAAACAACACACCAAGCAGTCCCTAGCAAGAACTTCTCCTAATTCTCCATCACACCAGTAATAAAGTAAAATCACTGAGCTCTGTAGAAAAGTTACTGAATGGACACCAAATTTGATACAGAAAGTTGGACAAAATGGCAGCTTTTCTAATCAAGTATAAACCCAATAGTGAAGGGAGAACATGAAGGACACCACACCTTTAGAAGTCTAAAAGGAAAAGAAAATATGACAAGCAAGACTTACAGGAGGTTGTCCACTGACATGGCCCGGGATCTTGGTGGCTTTTTGGGTGGGATCTTCTTCTGGGTACCCGATGCTCCTCCCCCAGGTCGTGTGTCCAAGCCCTCACCCTGGAGGGAAGGAAGAATTAGATGCACAGAACAATAAACTCCTATGTACCTTACAAAAAATTTTCTAGTCTGTTTGTCAATATATCTAATACAATACCAACTGAGTGTGGTATTCAATTTAAGATCATCTAGTCCCTTCAATTGTACTTAATACTGTACAATAAAGCACTGTGTGTTTTATGTAGTGGTGGTGGTAGAAGGGCAAAGGAAGTGCGGAAGTGCGGCAGTGGTGATGGAGGTGAAGAGGGAGTGTGGTGGTGGTGGTGGTGGTAGAAAGGCAGAGGGAGTGTGGTGGTGGTGGTGGTGGTGGTAGAGAGGCAGAAGGAGTGTGGTAGTGGTGGTGGTGTTCTGCCAAAAGATATAATCCTGGTTATATTCCAGAATAAACAATACAAACTAATGTTTTCCTCTGAGACTTTACTGTTTTATTTTCATCCACTGAAGTGCAGCGTGTGACAAGTCTGTTCTTCTTTGTGGGGATTATGAGGACTTTTGGGTGAGTGTCAAGTTAATCCAGGAGAGTGAATATGAAATCTCACTCACACAACTTGGCAAGGATTCTGAAAATTAAGCTTACTAATATTTTTATAACACTTGAATACATATTTTTACATATTTTCTTTACTTTTATGATGTGTAATGTTTAAATGCTGCAAGATTTGAATTGTAGTGCAACATATTGTGAAAAATAAAGTTTCTGAGTAACCTACAATTTCCTTATCCTGTGCATCATAAAAGCCCCCCAAAATAAACACATTCTGGCAGCAAACAAGAACAACATTAATGGTAGTCAACTTTGGGTATAACACAATATAAATCGAACAAATAAAAACTCAATTTCTCATGGCTGTCAACCTCCACACAGTACCTGACGAACACTGAAAAATGCCTGGATCAGCCCCCTACCAGAATCAATCACAACCCCTCCATCCTCAAGCACCATCCAGCACTCTACTACCTTGATGCTCTTCCCTCCTTCCCTTCCTCTTAGTACCTCACTAAGCCTGTAGTACTAACCTTCATGACTCCTGCTACAGTTGCACTTCTGCTGACCGTGATTGTTGTTCTTGATTCCTTATATGGAAAAGCCTTAAGTCCTACGTTCCTCTTTGGCGACGTCTTAACTGGCGAGGCTTCAGTCGACGACACCTCCAGGATGGGGTTCATGGTGCCCCCCAGGGAAGAGATGTCATTCCCTTCGATAAGTCTCGGTATTACATTTTCTTTTGATGAATTAATTGTGTCCATAGAGTGGAAATTCTTCTTAGATCTTATAAGACTCTTCGGTATATTTTCTGTCAATACCTGTTAAAAATAGAGACATGATGTGATGTCCAGTGAAGCCTCAGTAAAATATATTTCTAGTACAGTACAAAGACCAGAACAGTCTTAAAATATATATATATATCTTAAAATTGCTAAAACCATGTTGGGGAATACAGTTAATACCTTTCATTTACCTTATTACAGTACAGCACAGAATTGAGATTTTGAAGGATATCTAAATATTAAATAATTTGCCAACAAAGTCAGGAATTAGCATCAGAGATTTACTAGGGCAAAAACATGTACAGTATTTGTCTTGGAGTTAAAAAATAATAAGTTTAACTGATTTAATATTTCCTGAATTACTGGAAAAAACAAAACATGAAGAATCAGAATCTAAATTAACATAGAAAAGACTAAAAGACAAGTAAGGAAAACAATTTACAGTACAGACATGTACAGTATAAGAATCAAAGGGAACTGAGAACCCCAATGAACTATCTGTATACGTAAATGGATCATTGTACAAACAGAACACAAAGTACAAAATAAAATAAAACCTTTCCATTTTGTAGTTATTTTTGTCAAATACACATAACTTGACCCTTTTTGTGGAGTTATTAAAATGTATGATAACTGACGACAACTTCTCACCACTCGTAAAATATCAATCACCCGACACAGTGAAAGAGTCGGCGGCAACTTACAATATCCTCTGACAGTCTGCTGGAAGTCCTGAATGATGGCGCTAGCAGAGATATATCCTGCATGCTCGACATACGGATGACGTCACGACCTCGCATTGTGGGGAAAACGTTTGTCGACGGTGTTCGCGAGACTGAGGCAAATTTCACCGGCCCCTGAAGTGATAAACGAAAATAAAGAAATGTATCACGAAAACACAATACTGTATTCTGTCCTTAAACACTGAATTAATTAAAGCTATCAATAAATGTATTACTTAAACAATTAATAAAAAATGCATTATTAATTAGACCAATCAATAAACAATGTATTAGTTAGACCAATCAATAAACAATGTATCACTTCAACCAATCAATAAACAACATTAATTCGACCAATCAATAAACAACATAATACTTCGACCAATCAATACAGTCGTGTCTATAACTAAAGGAATATATATAAAACACCTTACATACCAGTGAGTATTGATGGTGACTCAAGTCCTCCACACTGGTCGAGCGTCTAGAGGAGCTCCAGCTGAGTGAGGTGGGCCTTCTACTGGTGGAGGTCCTGGCATCTAGAGCTGAGTACGACCTGTGTCTCCTCACCACCACAGGGTCGGGAGGTTGAGGGGGTGGTAAGGGAGGGCCCAACACTTCTTCATACAAGGATCTGATGGTTGCCGTGTAGTTCAGACGATCTGGACCATTCAGCCGCTCGACCAATAACTGCAAGAAAGAAGAAAAGTTAGTCTTGTATGGTACTAATGATAAATATATATATAACCTGTATACATGCACTAAAACTATTAAATAAAGGTTTTAAAAGGATGCCATAGTTCAATTCTATTTATAAAAGGCATAAAAATGGCATCTAAAAATACACTAATAACCTATAATTAATTAGAGAAACTTTAATGGGTGAAATTTTTCGAAGGATCATTAATTACAATCAGTTGCTCTACTTTATAAATTTTCTAAGCTCAGATCATTAATCAGTTTGTCAGGGAGCTTGGCGGCCACAGTGGGGTGGATATTTTGACACAAATAATATGTAAAAAATCAAGAGGTGTTGGTTAATATTACCACTTGTGTCAATAATGATAACGACAGGAGTTTAGTTAGCCTGAGCAGGGAACAAGGGGAGGAACTGGAAATATATTAATAATTTCGCAATAATAATGTGCAGAAATTGGTAGAATATTGTTTTCATATCTACACAGAAGGTATTAAATAAGTTGCCCCAAACACACTATTGCTTATCACTGTCAGCCAGGCAACTGTTATATGAAGAATACTTTAATGATGTGGCAGGCGTTATTCTATTTCAATAACTACATAATAAAATTTAAGAATACATATTAATATACAATAGCTTTACAAACAGCCAATAAATTAAAAAAATAAACTCATAAGTAATTATTCATATTCAGTATGCAACAAGAAAATAATTATTTGTTTAATACACTTACGAATGAGAGCATGTGAATTAATTTAAAAGTTTTCTGAACAATATATATTTTCTCCGTGAATATTATCGAACCTAAAACAATATCTTTCCATTAATAAGATTACTAAAATCAACCAGTGAATTTAACTGCTAACAATCCACAACTGTTACCCAAATTTACCGACAAGATAACGAGCAGCATGTCAATGGCGTCCCCCTGCGGACTCACAATTACGGTTGAATTACCTCAAAGAAAAACTTCCTTGCTATTCAAATCTCAGTTCCGCGACTCTCCAGAATAACCCAGTGCTTCAGGAATATGAGAATAACTAAGTGCTAAGTTATGCCGCTTCCTCGTATCAAGCGCTGTGTCAACTTTCAGGGAGAGCGGAGATTGTATTACCTCCCCCAGGCTGCTCAGACGAGATGGGTAAACATGGGCGAAAAATATTTACACAGAACATCACATCCCCCCTCCCCCTCCACCTCCCACCTCCCCCTCCCCCTCCCCCACCCTTCTAGGACTGAACCCAAGCACTCAGATTGGGATGAAACTGAACCCCACACACTCAAGATAGAACATTTAGTTAGAAGATTCCATTAGATTACCTTTGATTAATGTTAAGATGGTTAAACTTCAGGGAAAATAAGCTTGGGTGTCTAATAAAAAAAAAACAAAAAACATGACACACCAAATAAAAGTAACATGTGGGGTTTTACTCGGCGGGCCACTGGTGATGACAGTGAAGGTTAGTTCTTTTTTTTTAATCAAAACTTTTATGACTTTAGAGACACCGTTAAAAGTTTGTAAACAAGCCAAAGTTGGTAGACGAGTGATCATGCAGATGTTGTTTTTATATTCAGGATATTTATTTAATTACTCGACACGTAATTTTTCCCCTAAAGTTTTATTGTATATTTAATGAATTTGGGAAGCTTAATTTACCTTACGGGTTATTTTTTATTGGATATTTAATTAAATTCCTTACTTTGACGTTGTCCGAAGTAGGTTAAACAACACTGAAAAACATAACCAGCTTGTACACTTCATCATCGACCACTGAAAACAATTATGCAAGAAATATATATAAATAACTTCGGTAAACATGAATCATATTAACTTAATTATTTGTGTAGTTACTTAAAAAGACTGTAGAGAACTGAGTAAAGTTCTTTGATGTTATGTATAGTTGATGTCTGGTAAAATTTGGAATCATATGAAGATTAACCCCCTAATTTATGTCCAATGTAATAATGTGTTGTGTGCTGGTAGCCGTTACTGATCTTGAGGTTAATTAGTGATACAGGTATAACACACACACACACACACACACACACACACACACACACACACACACACACACACCCCCCAACTCACCTGGAAGATATCGACAAGGGTAAGTCTATGTGCCGGTAAGTTGTGGGTCATGGCAGAGAGCGTTGACCTAAGGCTAGAGGAGATGGTATGGGTGATGTCAGTCAGCTGGGTACTGCTGTTGCTTCTGTTACTGTGTTCAGCTGCAGCCCACAGTGTCCGTCCCAGCGAGAATACCAACAGCTGGAAAGGGTTAGGTTAGGTTATAAAAGACAGACAGACAGACAGACAGACAGACAGATAGATAGATCAAAAGAAATCCTATGGGTCATTGTTGTGTCATCAAGATCAATGATTCAACAGAGGTCAGAGATCAACACACGTCAGAGGTCAACAGTGTAGGCAAATCAAAGGTCAAAGCTACATGTGAGAGAGAGAGAGAGAGAGAGAGAGAGAGAGAGAGAGAGGACATGAACTGGGAATGGTCGAGGGAATTAGCAAACCAGATCTGATTGAACATGTCTGTCTGTCTGTCTATTTACGAGTCTTCCCCATCTATCTATCTATCTATCTATCTATTTATCTATCCATCTATCTATCTATCCATCTATCTATCTATCTATCCATCCTACACCCTCCACACCCTTCTCTCCAACACCTACCCTCTCTCCATCTTGCTGGTGTTGGTGCTGGTGGTGGAGATCGCTGTGGTGGTGCTGGTGGTGGAGGTCATTGGTGAAGGCTTCAGGAGGGAGATAGTTACCGTGGGGGTGGGCGTGCGAGTTCGGGGGCGTGGCTAGCAGGTCTACACGCCCACACCGCAATAGTATCAAGCCTTCCGGAGTAACCACGTCCAATCTGTTGCCATTGCCTGTAGGAGGGATGAAGAAGGTGGTGGTGAGATGGTCGTGGTAATTTGGGTAAACATTGGTAATATTCTGAGTCTATTAACATTGGTATTATAAATCTCTAATATACCCACTAACCCACCCACCTACCCACTTACGCAACCCACTTACCCACCCACCCACTCACCCCCCCCCAGACACTCATACCGACGTCAAATAACTTCATCCAAATGTGATTCAGTGGAAACGTATTTCACGGCTACACCACAACCTCCTCCTCCTCTACCTCTTCCTCCTCCTCCACCTCCTCTACCTCTTCCTCCTCCTCCACCTCCTCTACCTCTTCCTCCTCCTCCTCTACCTCTTCCTCCTCAGCGGGAAACTCCACTCTAGCGTTGCAGTACACAATTTGGCCAAAACCCACGCGTACCGGGGTCTGAGTTCACTGATTGGCTGCTCCTATTCCTCGTCTGTGTTGATGTCGACGTATATCCAAACAGTCACTGGGTTAGGTTAGGTTAGGTGAGGGTGAGTACCACATCACCACACCACCACTACCACACCATCAAACTATCACACCACCACCACCACACTACCACACCACCACACTACCACACCACCACCACCACACCAAATTCAACATCACAACCACCACCACCACACTACCACAGCCATCCACAACTACCACCAACCACACCACCACACCACCACACCATCACACCCCAACCACACCATCACAACCACCACACCAACACACCACCACACCATCACACCACCACCACCACACCATCACAACCACCACCACCACACCATCACACCACCACACCACCACACCACACCACACGACCACACCCCACCACACTACCACACCATCACACCGTTCAATAATCTACCACACCAACCACACCACCACACCACCACATTATCACAACCACCACCACCACACCATCACACCCACCACCAACACACCATCAATAACCACCAATAATCACCACACCACCACACGACCACCACCACCACACTACCACACCACCACACCACCACACCATCACACTACCACACCACCACACCATCACAGCATCAAAATACAGTACAATAATTTCCCACTAATACTCAATATCATTAGCAGTTATTTTCCAACCATCTCCAACTGCCAATTAAACTCCCCCCCACGTCTTTCCTCTCCTGCATCTCAGTTCAGTGGTCACCAGGAACCTTAACCCTTTGACGACGATAATTTAACCCTTTGAGGACGATAATTTAACCCTTTGAGGATGATAATTTAACCCTTTGAGGACGATAATTTAAGTAAAGATAATTAATATGATCAACCATTCAGAAATATAAAGGTATTCTGAGTAACGTTTGATAATATAGTGAAAACTCTATTTACCGGACTTTATGGAGAAGAGAGTTCGAATATATAATGTTAGATGAGGAGAGAGAGAGAGAGAGAGAGAGAGAGAGAGAGAGAGAGAGAGAGAGAGAGAGAGAGAGAGAGAGAGAGAGAGAGAGAGAGAGAGAGAGAGAGAGAGAGTAATACTTGCTCTACGCCATTATATTCCAATCTTCCGTCCTAACTCAATTGTGGCGTCTCCATTCCCGCCACCCCGACCCTTGATGCTGTGAACCATGACCACCAATCACCACCACCACCACCACTACCACCACCACCACCACCACCACCACCCACAACCACCATCACACCAACCACCACCACCAACCACCACCATCACCACCACCACCACCAACCAACCACCACCACCAACCACCATCAACCAACCAACAACTGCCACCAACCAATCAACCAACCAACCACACCACCAACCACCACCAACCAACCACCACCACACCAACCACCACCACCACCACCACCATCACCACCACCACCACCACCACTACCACCACCACCACCACCCACCACCACCACTCACCACCACCATCACCACCATCACCACCACCACCATCACCACCATCACCACCCAACCACCAACCAACCACCACCTCACCATCAACAACCCACACCATCACCACCAACCACCAACCATCAACCAACCAACCAACCAACCAACCAACCAACCAACCAACCAACCAACCCACCACCAACCACCAACCACCAACCAACCACCACCATCCACCACCAACCAACCAACCAACCAACCAACCAACACCACACCACCCACCAACCCATCACCACCACCACCACCATCACCACCAACCACCAACCACTCACCAACCTCACCCAACCACCACCACCACCACCACCATCACCACCACCTCACCACCATCACTCACCACCACCACCACTCCCAACCACCACACCACCACCACCAACCACCACCACCACCACCACCACCCACCACCACCCCACCACCATCACCACCACACCACCACCCCACATCACTCACACCACCACCATCACTACCACCACCACCACTCACCACCACCACCACCATCACTCACCACCACCACCACTCACTACCATCACCACCATCACCACCATCACCACCATCACCAATCACCACTACCACCCCACCACCACTACCACCACCACCACCACCACCGCCACCATCACTACCACCACCACCATCACTACCACCACCACCATCACTACCCACCACTGCAACACGACCACGTGACCCTGCCATGTGACGTCATGTTAATAAACATTATAACTAGCTTATTAGTGTGACGTCATAATTAATAAATGGTTCGATGGGTTTATTCCCATGACGTCATCATGATCACCAAACAATTTGACTGGTTTACTTCATCGACGTCATAAGCACCACCAGATCTCATTGGTTTGTTAACATTACGTCACCATTTAAGAAAGACCTGATTGGCTGATATCACCGTCTTCGTTATTGCCTGAAACTTGTTGATCTGACTTGAGACGAAGGAGGAAATAGTTGGCTGTGAAGACGAAATAGTTGAGCTGCCTTCTAATACTCCGACCAACACACACACAGGGAGGCGCCCAGCCAGCCTGTATCACACCCACACTATCCACTCTCTCACCCTCCCCCTCCTATACCGCCTTACATACAGCGCCAGTCTCTTATGCCAACTCATAATAGGCAACCCAGGTATACAGACTCTATAGGCCTATACTGTGCCTATACAGACTCCCCTATAGGCCTATACTGTGCCTATACAGCCCCTATAAGCCCTATACTGTACCTATACAGACTCCCTATACATATACAGACCCCCTATGGCTTATACTGTACCTATACAGACTCTATAGCCTATACTGTGCCTATACAGACTCCCTATAGGCCTATACTGCTATTCAGACTCCCTATACATATACAGACTCTATGAAGCTTATACTGCCTATACAGACTCCCTATACATATACAGAACTCTGAAACATACTGTACCTACAGACTCCCTACAGGCCTATACTGCCTTTCTTTAGCCTCCCTATACATATACAGACCCCTATAAGCCCTGCTCTGTGCCTATACAGCCCTCCTATACATATACAGACACCTATGAGCCCTATACTGTACCTATACAGACTCTATAAGCCTATACTGTACCTATACAGACTCCTATACATATACAGACTCCTATAGGCCTATACTGTACCTATACAGCCTCTATACATATACAGACTGCCTATAGGCCTATACTGTACCTATACAGACTCCCTATACATATACAGACTCCTATAGGCTATACTGTACCTATACAGACTCTATACATATCCAGACTCCCTATAGGCTATACTGTACCTATACAGCCTCTATACATATACAGACTGCCTATAGGCCTATACTGTACCTATACAGACTGCCTATGAGCCCACACTGTACCTATACAGCCTCCCTATACATATACAGACTGCCTATAGGCCTATACTGTACCTATCCAGACTCCCTAGGCCTATACTGACCTATACAGACTCCCCTATAGGCCTATACTGTACCTACAGACTCCCTATAGGCCTATACTGTACCTATACAGACTCCCTATACATATACAGACTGCCTATAGGCCTATACTATGCCTATACAGACTCCCTATACATACACCGTGCAACAGGTGACATTGATGGTGCAACACGATGGTACAGTGAAGGGATAATGATGTTGCAATGATGGTACAGTAATGGTACAACCTATTGGTACAACACAATGGTACAACACAATGGTCACAAACACAATGGTACAACACAATGGTACAAACACAATGGTACAACACAATGGTACAACACAATGGTACCAACACAATGGTACAACACAATAGTACAAACACAATGGTACAACCTAATGGTACAACACAATGGTACAACACAATGAATTTTCAACCAATGGTACAACAAGATAAAAGTAAACACTAATGCAAAGGGTAACTTGTAAGCTAACATAATTACAGGTAACGGCCCACAAACTTACCTGCCAAGTTGTTGATGTTGTTTTGTTATTATTGTTGTTGATACGATTATTCTCTCTATTTGCTATACCTGTGGCGTCCCCAAAAGCACCAAGATGGGACCCTCTGCTTCCTTATGCTCATCAGCAGTGCTAAAACCCTGCTCGCTGGAAATATGTCGACGTCTCCACCATTGGGATCAGCGTCAACAATTCTGCCCCCAACTATACCGCCCTTCAGGAATTTGACAGTCTCCAGCACTGGGCCACCAACAACCTGTCACCATCAACCATCCAAGACCAGGTTACTCAACCTCTCCTCCAAGCTCGTCCACCTCCCTCCATTACCCTAGGTCGAACACACTCAGGTGCTAGATTCACTCTCTCACTCCATAGACAACAAACTAAATTGGAAACCACACGTCAGTAAGTTGTCCATCCTCCAGTTTCCGTCTCCACCTCCCTGCCGACTCAGTCCTCAGGTTCCCTGGCTCCTCAGTATATACACAACATTCAACTTCCCAGCTCTACCTCCCCCCACCTGGTCTTCCCTCTCTAAATGCACAACATAACACAGAAAAAGTGCAAAAGGCATGCAGGTTTCTCTCCTTCCTACACACATATCAAGCGCGCTCACACTG